AGTCAGTAGCGACAGGGAGAGGAAAATTTATTGGCATCGAGAACAACGTCTCTAAGGATGTGTGCTCCTATTGCCTCATGAATATTCGTAGCATCAATAAATTTGGGAAAAAATATTGTACCAATGAAAACCTTGCGCTATCACTATTCGCTGACTTTCAACAGTCGTACATACCATTTCTTTTTTCTAACATCTGTTAAATTCTGCTTGCGTGACGACATCTGTGATTTGTAGAACGAGGAGAAATGATAAGAATCTTATTATTGATTTTTTTATAAATATCTTATTATTAATAATTTATTTATACAGAGATTTGTCAATATCTATATTTTGCTATCTTCTCTAACTATATACACGTGGAAAGAAAAAAATTAATATTAACAATACTTAGACGGATTAGCTCTTAAGTGCGCATTGCAGCTTTGCATATATGCAAAGCGACTTCTCGATGCTCCGTATATTTTCGCATATGAAGTTCGAACTGAAAACGCGCGGATTTGCACATCTGCTTTTACATTATCACAAAAATAGTTTAAAAAGGTTTCAAAGGATTCAAATTAGTAAATAAGGAAATTTTTTAAATACTTTTTTGAGATTCCTTAAGTAGCCATTATATTTATTTAAAAAATATTTAGAATAATAAGGGTTAAGAAACGCTACATCTTATTTGCATCACATTTTATGCGAGAGAGAGAGAGAGAAGAGGAAGGGGCTCGGGAGGATAAAGGGCTCATCCTAACTCTTACCAGAAGCACGTAGAAAGATGCGCTCGCTTAAAATGTTGTTTGAAGGCAACTTCGAGAGATCTGCTAGAAGAATGTTTGATAATTTCCAAGTTTCGCGTGGAGAGATTTGATAGATATAGATTTTTCCCTAGATGATTGGCTCCGCTTGCGAAACTTTGGACCATCCGGCAAAGACTTTCGCATCTTCCAGCACAATAGAGAGGAAGCTGGCTGGAAGTAAGCGAGCGGTCGGCCGCCTGTATGTGGCGGGAAATTTACAGTCCGGTAATTTGGCGAGAATTTAAAGCATCCTGCCGGGTTAATTGCGAGGAGCCACCTGCGCCGCTACCCCTATAAAAGATGTATCACGCGCCCTTTTTGGGCCACGAGACGAAAGAGTGGAACGTCGCACAGAAATAAGAGACGCGGACGCAGAAGTTTCGCGAGTCCGGCTCGGACTTCTTTCGTTCAAGATAGTTGCGGGAACTTATTACTACTATCGGAGCGCGGATAGTCACTTATCGCGCCAGACGTATTGCACCCTCCCTTCGAACCCCTCGATGATAGGCGAAGGTCTTGGACGGGAGGATAGGAAAGGCGGGATGGAGGTTGTTAAAGAAAGACCGGATAAATCTCGGCGGAAAGAACGGATAAATCGCGCCCGTCTACTAAGCACCTACCTATCCGCAATAAGAGAGAACACCTCTTTCTCTCTCTCTCTCTCTTTCTTACATAAGCCGGCTGGCACCCCGAGTCCCCTTATCTCGCGCGCGAGCACAAAATCCTCTGCGCGAGGGTATAAGGGCGGGAAGAGAAATTTTTGATGTAAAAATAAAAAGTCGCAACCGTGACGTGTGTAAATAAAAGATTCCCATCTCGTAAGGCGGGGACGTGCGCTGTCGTACCGGTGGAATTAAAGCGCGGGTAGATCGACCGGTAAAATGAGGACGACGGGAATTGTTCTGCACTTGCCTGTCCGTGACGAGCTCTTTTCTCGTCTGCACGAACTTCAGCCATCCCTCAACATGGCCCGCTCTCCCAGAAATTTACAAAAGCATATCGATTAGTTATAAAGCGCGTTGCTAAAATTTCCGTCTCTAAACGCCAAGCTGACAAGCTTTATTTTATCGATATTATAAAATTTGTAATATAATACTCTTCTTTCTTTTATTGCATGTCGAATATACTTGACTTTAAATTTTACAATATTTTAAGAGATCTAGATAATAAGAAAAGGAATAAGAGAGAGAATTTTGGTAAAAATTCAAATCTTTTTTGTATATCATCTCTGTATTCCGTTTGCAAGGAATCAAAATGGCATTATCTCGCGGAGAGAAAACGCATGAATGGATTAAGCTCAGTTTACGGTACGCACGAAATCTTCGCTGAAGCGTGTGACGCGCGATAAAATCCGTCTGGTTAGCTTGTATGCCGCGCCGTGCCGTTCCCGATTCGATTTTATTCCTAACACAGTCGGCGAAAGAATTAAAGAGACGATAGAAAGTCTCGCGAGAAATGGCGGAAGAGTCGCACACACGTTCTGAGCGTTTATACGTCCGCAATAAGATGAGAGATCCACCCTCTCGCTTTCTTTCCCATTTTACTTCCGTCCCCTACGACTTCGATTTATCGCGAAGCGCGCGAAGAAACTCCGCCTAGCACAAAGGGTGGCGCGAGGGAAAAAAATAGTTTGAAGTCGATTAAAAAAAGATAGTGGAAGTTTTCACGGCGCGGCACGATGGGCGGGCGGGTTCGGGGAAAGGATTAAAGAATGGGTAGATAAATCTCGTGAGAAATAGCGGATAAATCGCGCTCGTCCACTAAGCACACACCTATCTTCAATAAGATCCTGCTCTCCTTGTCCTTCTTGCCGCGTACTCGCGTTCCAAAACTCGATTTATCTCGCGCGCGCGCGCGAGATTCTTTCCGCAATATGAAGCGCGTGGAAGAATTCTCAACGACGTACGAGTGAAGACAGTTTTGCCCGAGCGTATGAATTTTCCCTCGAACCACCTTTTCCATGAACACCTTGAACTTCCCGCCCGGTTAAGAGATTCGCCCGGTGAGAGACAGTGGAAAGAAAATGCGCATAAACTTGAGACGGTGGTAAAGTGGTGCAAATGAAGTAATGCGTGCGCTAGAGACGCTAGAGGTGCCACGACAGTTTGACAGATTTGTAGGACTGCAACACGTTTTTGTTTATCCAGTTTAATGATAACGCATGGAGTTTAAGCACGTTTTCGCATGACGTACTACACGCGACGCGTAGTAATAATAATAGTCATTGCAATATTTGAACATATGTAATATATATTTGTATGTGTGTGTGTGCGTGCGTGTAAAATTTGCGTTCTGGTAAGATTGGTAACAGATTTGATAAGACATTTCAGTAGACTGACATCAACTGCGTCCGCGGTCAGCTTATGTTCTGCCAGCAGAGTCTGCTAACATAATCGGACAGCAGATTGGCGGTAGAAACCGCACTGACAGAGCAATGTGAGCAGATTGGCAGCAGAAGCAGTGCGGAGCCTGAACGGTTCGTGCGGGATCTGTTCGATTTCTGCCGCCAATCTGCTGTTTGATTACGGATCGGTTTGCTATTGTTGAACTGGCTGTACTAGTTCAGAGCCTATCTTTGTGGAGTAAAAAAGATAAATTCTGCAGCCAGTTCAGTAATAGAAAATAAATCCTATGTTAGCAAACTTTGCTGTTGGTATTCTGCCGACATCATGATATATCATAACCGGCATCAAATCTGTATTATAATCTTTCTGCCGACAAAATTTGTAGCAGATACTTGGTAAGATTATTTGCTCTCAACAGACTTGATTGTCTAGGTCTCTTCTTATGCATTTCATGAATGTTACAAATCACGTTTCATGATAACATTGCTATATCTTAACGCTACTCACACATATAGACATAGTTTAATCAATGTAATATAATGATAAATTCGGACCTCGTTAATATGATGGCACTTTAATATAATTGGCGCACCATCATATGTGGTGAAACAAAATTTAATTACAAAATAAAGAAATTGATGTGAAAAATTAACATTATAACGGAATAGTTTAAAATAAAATTTACAGTTTTTATTAAGAATCTCGTAGTTGATTTTGTAGCTTATTATTAAAAAAATAATAGACATCACAAGAAAATGCATTTTTTACATAGATACTGTTACAATCGTTCTCAGATTTGTCTTGTTATGCGGAACTTACGAACGTTTATATACAAGCGCATGTAAGCGCATTTTGAAATTGGATACTACTTAAATATTATTGCTAACTCCCATTGAGAATACAGAGCGGTTTACCGAACACAATACAAAAGATACAAGAGAGAAAAATACATAGTAGAAGATACCGTGTTCAAAGTGGAACGAGATAAGCAATCCAACATAAGTACAATATCGACTAACAATATCGATCAGCGGGTCCCCAACGTCGTCTAACCTGAATTTTCGACTTTTCCACGGCAGCGGCGTCGCGAGAGGAGAATGTTTGAAGAAAACGGAGCTATATGGAGAGAGTCCAGCGCGAGAGGAGAGAGAAAAAAAAGAAACCGCGCGTCGACACCTTCTTGCGCGTCTTTTTCGAGGACGAGCGTGTCGGCGGGTAACGTACCACTCATAATAAACGATAAAGGGAAATAAAAGTGCCTCCATCCAACGGTGAAAGAGGGAGACCGTCGCGGAAGGGACGCGACAGAAGAGAGATGGACGTGGTGCGGCGCGACGAGGGGGGAAACGCGGGGGGAGCGCGTCGGCGTGTGTACGAGTCCGTTTCCAGCGACACGACGTGCTTCCCTATGCTTTTTGTTTTAATTTTCTAGAGGCCACCGGCTCCATCTCGTTCGCCTCTCCGTCCCCTCTTTTTTTCCGTCTCTCTCTCTCTCTCTTCCTCTCTCTGCTTTCCTCCTCGTTGGGTGTCCCCCTATCCGCCGTCACGGCTTCCGCCGCCACTGCTCGTCGGTTCCTCGTGGGAGCTCCGCGAAATGTACCACGGTGGTTTTCAGCACTGTGGATGCTGCTAGGTATATATCCTCATCCTCCCTCTCTCTCCTATCCCTCCCCCATTGCCCCCTCGCCTGCTTTTCTCCGTCCTCCCACGCCGCTCCCCCGCCCCTTCCAATGTCCCCACCGCGCCCTGTCTCTCGCTTTCCTTTCCCTCCCATTCCGTTTATCCCTTCCTCGCGACGCGCTCTCTCATGCCGCCACCCCTCCGCGCGCCACGGAGTAAAGGGCTGAACCGGCCAGTGCAATTCCCGACGAGTTCGGTGTCGAGTCCGCGCTCCCGGCCGGCGATCGTGCATGTCGTCGTCGCGACGTCGCGCATTATCTTTTTATCTCCCGAGCTACCGAGGGATAATGGTCTCTCTCTCTCCCTCTATCTCTCTCCTTCGCGACAAGTCACGACAGTTTTAATTTAACCGACGGAATGACAATCCCCCCGAAACGTCATCGGAACGTCGAATACTCCGAGTTCGAAGGGATGGGTGGAGATTAGCAAAGTAACGAATAAAAACGGTATATACGATTAAAAAGTGATACGAGTGGTGGACGGGGTTGCCAGCTCCAGGGAATATAGATCTTTCAGCCGAAGTCACGCACGCTCATATACGCAGAAGGGATTAATCGGCGTGATGTCAACGCCGTGCGACGTTCGCCGTAGTGCGCGAAGCCGTGATCCAGCGATCCGATCCAGCGACATCGTGCCGCGACACGTAAGTTCCGTTTCGTCCCGCGCGCGTAATCCTCGACGGATCCTCGGATCCTCGGAGGAGCTGGAGGTGAAGGAGGAGGAGGAGGAGGAGTAGGAGGATCCGCCAAAATCCGGTGAGCGCTTTGCGGCCTTGTATTGATCGGATCCACATCGTGGATCCGTAGGCGACACGGACGCTGGATCCCGATGTACTGTGCCGTCGGGCGGTTTTCCTCGTGCCTTCTTCTTCATCCAGCTCGAAGTTATTTTCGGCACCCGCTTGATGGACGGGCATTCTGAGATTTTCCCGCGGTAAAATTTTCATGACGCAATTCCATTCTCAGCGTTCCCGCTAATTGAACACGCCCGCGAATCGACCTATCGACCGAATCCGCTTAACTCACGAATCTGTGGACTGGGGGGGGGGAGAGGGGAAGGGGGGAAATTGGCCCTCTCCCCCATTTTTTCCCGCTGAAAGTCCTTACGACTGTCGTTCGCGGGCGCGCGGACGTGCGGACGCGTCCGCCTTCGGGCGATTAATTAAAATAATCTCTTCTCGCGCGCACCGCGCGCGTAAATTATTCCGGGGTAGGTACTACTACTAGAGAGGTGCGCCCCGAGAAGTTTCTGGGGACTGAATGAATGAAACGGGAAATCAGAGCGGACAGGAAACGTAGATTGATATTGGCACGAATGCCAATCAATTGTTCGGAGATCAATTTTTGTCGAATTTGAATTACATTCGACCGGCTGCCGAACAATAACTATCACCATCCTGTTAAATCAATCTCTGAAAGAACATAAAATAACTGTTGTTTAATTTCAACTCAGCGTTATTTAATTTCCGCATCGCGTTGTATCGAATGCTATTGTGCGAGAGTCTATCACCATCACTACGTCAGTTTTTTGAGGGGGAAAAGCTTTGTCTGGAAGTATCCATCACATTCAAACCTTTTTTTAAATACTATTTGATGACTACATTCAAAGTCAACGCAAAAATATATTGACATTTATATAAAATGTTGTTATTATAAGCTAAGAACATAAATAAGCCATAAAAGAATTAATAATATTGTATATCTTAAAAATAATATCAAAACGAACAAATGTGTGAACTATAATTAGGAATAAAAATAATCTGAGTAAAAAATTGCCCGCAGGAAGTGTGAGTGTGGTGAAAAGTGTCAAAAACTATTTATTTAAATTGCTTTTTTTAAAAAGATTTATTGAGATTAATAAAACATTGTTAATGTAAAACGAAAATATATTATAATATTATTTTAAGCAATAATTAAAATATTTTACAATATTTCTACAATTATTTTTAATTAAAAAAATTTATAAAATTGCTATTACTTTTATAAATATATATAAATATTACCTTAAACTCTCAAAATACGCTCCGAAATATTTTCAAAATGACTAAAAACCATTAAGATCAAATAATTATTGATTACGATTGTTAATATGTTTCTCCATTTCAGGTTCGCGTTATTTACTTAAAAGACAAGAGAGGATGGCTATAAATAAACTATTAAAAAGGTATATAGAGCATAAGGAGCAAAAAGTGCAGCTCTGCAGAATATTTATAAAAATTTCTTGGGGTCTTAACGTGGCAATCAATAACTGTGCATTACATTCCTTCAGTGAGAGATTTTCGATGTTCCGCCCGACAAGTCCTGAAACTTTTATTGGGCATACCTTGTAAAGCCCCTCTGACACGGACGTCCGTCGTTACAATACGTTGCGCTTCTATAGCGTTGCTGCGGTGTATTAATTGAATCTCGAGGTATAGACAAGATCTTTCTGATTTACATGGGGAGATAGTTTGATTTTTCTTTCGGTGACGATTTTATATTTCGATTTCCTGCAGCATATTAAAATATACATGGTAAAATAAGAGAATAGACGTTTTTATATTTATACTTGACTATAGATATTTTTATATAAAACATATTTTATATGAAATACGTGATTATATGTAGATACTTTAAAAGTAATCTGAAATTTATTATTATTAAATCTTTATCAAAGTTCTATTTTATCTATATTAGAAAAGGTCATCTATATTTTATCATTCTTTATATAATATCTAATTATATGATATATAAAATTTTATTTATGAATTTATAATTGCTTTACATTGTCACGATATTACACACATATATCCTACACACTCACGCGGACGCACACATACAGTCACACATATACGAATTGATTTAAAACTCATTAAGGAATTTAAAAAAATATTGTTTAGGTTTATACGAGTAAATGTGCTAGTTAAAGGAAAGAGTAGTAAACAAGTAATTAGTAACTTAATGGGTAACTAATTAATGTCTATTTGTAATAGACATCTGATGTAATTTTGTACATAAAATGTTTTTCAGATATATTTTTCATGGAAAAATTATTTTATATAGTTGTACTTATAGAATCAACAATTTTGGGATCTTTTGCTACGGAAAAATGGTTTTCAATCATATTTTTCTAATCGAATAAGAAGAAAATTCATGTCTCCCAACGACGTTGCAAAGACAAACATTATAATTCTTATAATTATTCATTATAATTATCAATTATAATTAGAAAAGAGTAACACACACTTACGTGCACGCGTGCGTACATATGTATATTGTTCAGATAACGCAATAGATCCGGTATCATCTCTGTCTGCATTAAACTTGTGCCTTTTGTGCTGGTAGAGTGTAATCTGACAGCAAATTGTCGGCAAAAATTGAACAGAATTTGTTGCTTTATAAACATTTAAATGAAATACATCATTCAAATAATCACAAAACAACGGATCTTGATCAGTTTCTACAGTCAAATTGCCATTGTTCTATTAACAGATTCTCTTATATTTCTGCTAACATTTCATCGACAAAATTTGCAGCAGACACTTTCAAAATCTGCTCTTGACAGATTCGGCTGTCCGGATTATTAAATTTCTTAAATTTATTACAATATGTTCTTCATTTATTCTAACTAATGTTAAAAAAATAAAAGAAATATAGCTTTTGTAAAAAAAAATTGTTGACGTTATTGGTTCAGTGAGCACAATATACTTTAAGCACCTAAACCTAAACCATTCCCTGACTCCATTAAATCTAAGTTAACTACTTATTCAGATTATCTAATAATAATTATTGTCTAAATAATTATATTGTCCACGTAAAACTCGGTTAGTCCAAGTAGGGCCAAACCGAATAAGAACTGTACTAATGACTTACTGATGAACTGATGATGGTTAACGACGATTATATATGTCGTTTCTGGAGGATTTGTAAGATGGATGCAGGTAAAGGTAAATGCGCTTTCCTGACCAGTATCAGACAGATTCCTAGGAACAAAGCATTTTGAGCGTCGCCAGGGCTTACTTTCCTCCCTAGGGAAGAAAATTGGTTACTTTCCGCCCGCTGTACGAGAAGAACGATCTTTAATACAAGATCGGATTATGAGTATTCAATATACTGCCTAGAATCCGAAATATCCATATGTGTCCTATCCTTATATAAGAATCATACTAAAAACAAACGCTATCGAGAACATTTGCATTAATAATTTTATTTTTCCGAAATGGAGCTAATAGTGAAATTAAACTTAATAATAAATCCTAGTTAACATCAAAAAATAAAAATTATGCAATTATTTGCAAGATTTTTTACGAGAGTATTATAAACTCTAATGTAAGTGTAATATAACTTTTGCAATAATTAAACAATCACAAAGATACAAAGGTAATAGACATCAAGCGGCCGATAACTGAACTAAAATGCGTTCTCTCTCTCTTTCTTTCTTATAAAAAAAATTATATAGAAATTTAAACTCAAAACTTTGTATAATAAAAATATAGAAAGTCAAAAAATTTAAGTTTGCGCTTCAACAATCTGTAATACAAAAAAATTACATTAAATATTGAATTTGGATAAACTATAATTTGTACAGAAAAAATGTATCATAATTATAATAAAAATAAAAAATGCACATTTAAGAAAACAAATTATTTCGAAAAGTGTCAAGCTGTTCGACAAATTTCTGTCTGACAAATATCTTCCATAAATCTTAGTAAAAATTTGAACACGGGAAAGGCGGAAAATGCGGCAGCGTCTTTCAAGGCTTACAGGGCTTCACGTGAATTAATGCGATCTAGTCCATCCTGATCTACGACAAAATCTTGTTAGTACACCTCACCGAGCGGCTGAAATTCATGTCTCCCAACGACGTTGCAAAGACAAACGTGCGTAATTAAATGCTCACGTGAACGATATAACAAGCAGATATCGGAGAAGCGAACGGAATATTTTCCGCGGCTTCTATTCTAAATATGTCCTGAATTAATGATGGCAGGCTTCTAATTCGCGACGAGAGATTCAATTAATACGCCCGAACGATTAGCTGGAACTCATCGCAATCAGAGCGGACGAAAATCGTGCGACGCGTAATCTATTATACATCGCGACACAAATTTACGATATTAAAAATCATGTCTCTCTGTAAAGTATGATTTGTTTATTCACTGTGCATAGCGTTCATATTTATTACGTATACTTATTATATATAGTTGCACCGGCTTCAAAATACGAATTTTGTGATCAAAACTTCTTGTTCGATTTGGAAAATATGATTGAAAACCATTTTTCCGTAGCAAAAGATCCTAAAATTGTTGATTCCAAGTACAACTATATAAAATAATTTTTCCATGAAAAATATATCCTGAAAAACATTTTATATACAAAATTACATCAGATGTCTATTACAAATAGACATTAGTTAGTTACCCATTAAGTTACTAATTACTTGTTTACTACTCTTTCCTTTAACTAGCACATTTATACTCGTATAAACCTATATAAGAACAATATATTTTTTTTAATTCCTTAATCAGTTTTAAATCATTTCGTATATGTGTGACTGTATGTGTGCGTCTGCGTGAGTGTGTAGGATATATGTGTGTAATATCGTGACAATGTAAAGCAATTATAAATTCATTTTTCTGATTCTATTATATTCTTCAGTCTTTTC